TATTATCTAAAGGATTCTTTCGAAATGGCAGCCTTTGTAAAGGATGTAGAAATTCCGCAGGACTATGTACTGATATCATTAGATGTTACATCTTCATTTACGAATATCCCAACTGACTTAACAATTGAAATATTAAAAAAAAAAGATGGTTTATGATTAAAGATTATTGTAAGCTAACACTTGAAGCATTTATTAACCTTTTACAGTTTTGTTTTGACCATAGCTATTTCAATTTTAATAACACCTTCAACAAATATTTGGTCTTGGAATGGGAAACTGTTTGTCCCCAAGATTCTACTTTACCGCACACTATGCGGTAAAGTGCACTTTACCGCACACTTTGTATTCTACTTTACCGCATACTATGCTGTAAAGTTAACTTTACCGCACACTATGCGGTAAAGTGCACTTCACCGCATAGTGTGCGGTAAAGTGATACTTTCCATTTGCAAATACGTGCGGTAAAGTTCACTTTACCGCACGCTCGTAGGTAAAATCATTTTCCGCACTTGTTAGGTAAAAAACTATTACGCACTCAAAAGTCACTTTTACGCACTGAGTGCTTAAATGTAACTTTTACGCACTCAGTGCTTAAAAGAATGTCGTTTTAAAACTAAATTGACAATCGAAAAGTTGCTATTATGAAACGTCAGTAGAAAAAAACATATTTAATAAAAAACAACTATCCTGGTAAGCTCATTAATAAACTGCTATATAAGTCTCCCCCACATAGAACTCTTACACCACATCATCCACAAAATAGCCAAAATAGTTATTTATGATATAAGTGCTAAAAGTGACATTTTATTTTGTGAAAAGGGAAGTTTGGGACACGACGCCAAAGGCGGAGTGTTCCATCCCTTTGAACAAAATAAAATCACTTTTAGCACGACTATCATACACTATTTTTTCTACAAACGCACTAAAAGTGATTACTTTTAGCACTAGTGCTAAAAGTAATCACTTTTAACACCAGTGTCATAAAATGGCATTTTAGACACTGACAGCATCCGTTAAAAATGACACTTTTAGTGACGTTTGTAGAAAAAAAGTTTTTCAAAATTCCGTACATACAAGATCTGTCAGAAAAGGTGGCTAGGCAACTTACCAACGACAATATAAAAGTTGCATTCAAAACTGAAAATAAGGTGAGAAAACTTTTTTCCAAGCAAAAAACTAAAACTTCACAAGACATGGAAAGTAATGTGATCTATCGGATACCTTGTAATGAATGTAATGGTGTCTATACTATAGGCCAAACAGCCAGATATTTAAAAACAAGAATGTCTGAACACAAACGGAGTATAAGACCGGTTAATATTTTGAATACAAATAGTAAAACTGCATTAGCGGAACATTTCTGTTAAGTTAGGGGTATTTGGGTTCACAATCACACTCGGTATTACTCAAAACTCATAAGTATTTATTATTTTTGTAAGGAATATTCACTTGCACCTACCTAACAAAAAAAACGCCGGATGACGAAGCGAATAGGGTTGGGTAATATCAGTGGCGGCTCGTGACAATCCAAACTGGTGAGGCCCATGGCCCATCAAGTTAACCCAAACAAAATTTTCAAGTGTTACGCCAAAATTTTGACCCAAAATTTCATTAAAAGAACATCTCGGATATTTTTTTTTGTATATTTCTAATGAAAATTTTCATTTTTTACAGTTGCAAAACAACAGCAGTAGGTATATAATTCTTATTTTAATACAAATATTGAGTTTCAAATTAACAAAATAAATTCCAAAAAACAGTTTTTTAACCCGCAACAGACCAAAATAAAAAGTATAAGCCAATTAACCAATTAAATACTTGTCGCAGCAGCGAGAGATGCAAGAGATGCAAGGTTTCTTATTAACAAGCCCAAAATTGTGCGCCTCAATGCCTATGAAAATTCGCTATCGTCTCACCTACAGTTGAAGGGTTGTGGTGGGGAGTGCCGTGGCATCGCTTCGGCATTCCGTGACGCACATGAGGCCAAAATTTTTGGGATTGCTATTTTATTTTAATGCTGTCCGGCAACGATTTGAGCGCCTATAAGGATAAATAGGTAGCGCGCGCTAAATTCAAGAAATAGTATTATATTTTAATGAAAATTCGATCTTTTGATTCTTTTAATGATTGAAAATAGTTGAAAAACGTTAAATATTTAATGAATATTATTTCAAAATTTTGCATCATTATTGTAATTTTTACATGTGAGGCCCGGCCTCAGTTGCTTTATACGACGAGCCGCTACTGGGTAATATCAGCAAGAAAAGGATGAATCAGTGTTGATGTTCTACTGGTGATGATCAGTCGATTTGGAAATAGCGATATAGAATTTCTTTGTAACTAATATAATTTGTTTAAATGAAATCGAGTCTTATTATAAATATTTGTGCGCCTAAGAAAAGTAGCTTACACTTTTTAAAGGTTTAATTGTTTACAACTCACGAATCAGCTGTTACCTACCTTCTGGCCGTGTTCGAAGCACTGACTTGCCGCGGCGTTGCCACGTAGAGTCTAGTAAAATTAATAATAGAACAATTTCGAAGTTGAACAATATACCATTGATTTTGACAATGTTGCTTTTTTGGGAAAGCAAATTAATTAAAAAAAGATTATTGAATGAAATGATTGAAATTAGAAAACACCCCTATAATATCAACAAAAACCAGGACGTTGAAGGTTTGAGTATGGTATACCATAATCTTATAAAAACTATACAACATCCTATATAGAACCAAATGATAATTGTTTATTATTGGTATTCTCATCGGCTGCATACCTTCCTTTTTTTCTTTTCTTTTTATTTTGTCGAACACCAAGCGACAAGCAAGAACCTTCAACTTAAGTACCTACATATAATTTTCAATAACCTTATGCGGTAGAGATAGTCGAACGATTTGAACCTTAAATCACCTTAAACCCTCTCTTTTTGTCGGTTCGACTGTAAAATCAATTTATTTATTTTATGTCATACCAATACATTATTGTGTTTTTATACCTTAGATACCATCTACATAATTCATTACTTTATGCCCGTGCGGGCATAAAGTACACATTATGGCCCGCGCGGGCATAAAGACGCAAAAAACAGTTTTCAATTAACTTATTCTTTATTAACAAAATATAAATTTACGCTGATAAACATATTATTTTTGTAAAAAATTATGATGTTTGCACACTGCTGACAATTTGCGAAGTAACATTTTTTTCCCAGGTATTTATTATTCACAACCAACTGGTATGACATAAAAGTTTGTATGCACCATGGGTACTAATAGATATATATACCCTCGGGCGACTTACGAACCGTCGGGCCAGTGGCCCTCAGCTTTGTAAGACTGTCGCCCTCAGGGCATAATCATCTACTTAGTACCCTTGATACATAAATAACTATAAATACCGTTAAAACTGTGTTGTTTGTTTTTTTTTCTGTCTATATTATTAGTCAAGTCCACAAGTGCCTATTATGTATTATATTGATTGTTAACATGTTCCTTACCACCATTTTAACTTGAACACTGGAGTGATAACTTGAATGTAAGTAATATCAGTTGTTAAAACTATTAAGAATTGTGTATTGTAACTGTTGTTGTTTTTTATATTTATTTATTTATGTTTTGTTTTGAATTTGTCAAATATTATCCTAATTTTTAGTGCCCTGAGGATGACCTAATGAGGAAAACCACCTATTTAAAATATTATTTCTTCAAATTTTAACTTTTACAAATCGGTTACTGAATAAAAGTAAATATTGCAACCATGTACTGCGCCACAGAGTTTAGGTTTAAGGGACAATGAGGGTACCAAACGGAACGGTAGGTAAAGAGAAAGCGATTAGGCTTTGGAATGGGGAAGAAGCGGGCGGCTCTTCTAGACGCGCGGCGTCTGTAATTATTCATTTTTCAATTTTCATTCCTATTTTGCATCAAAATTAATTGTTCAATTCAATTTGTTCTTAGTGTGTGTGTGTGTAAGGAATGTACAGGTTAGTGGATTAATTATTATTTTGTTTTGGAGAGTTCAATTTACGCAACTATTATGTTTTTTCCAATTTTTGTGTTTTTTTGTTTGTTTATAACAATTTTGTATTACATGTGCATTGTTTATGTATTTAACCAAAATCGTTTCATACTGAAAACAACACAGTTAAAGAAGTAAATTAGAACCTAAGAAATTATGTGCTGTCTTTTGTGCTGAGATTTCGATTTTGTGTATTCAGAGCGTGCATTAGGGCCTTGTTGAATTTACTAACATTTTCCTACCCTGACGAGAGAATATCCTAACAAATTGAAATAATCAATCTAGAGATATTGGCTCAAAAACAACTATAACTGAGTAGCTTCCCGTATGGGACCTCAGTACCTGCTGGGAGACTGGCTAACTAACAAAAAACTATTCAGTTTGGAATATAAGTAGTATTGATTGAATGTTGAGTGTGTAATTAAAATTTTAGCACAAGAACAGAGGCGGTACCTAGTTTCAACTTTTATGGAATTATTGACTTAAATTATTGAATTAATGATTCACAATTATTATTATTAAAATTGCACAGTATGTTTCGATTTTTGGGGAATCGAGGTTTTCTCTGCCGTTCTCTTTTCCCTCGAGAATTCTAGGTCGAGAACGGTACGTTTTTCTTTGAAAATAAAGGAGGCGTTTCACAAATTTTGCGTTTCTTTCACATATTACAGCTTCCCTTAAATTTCCCAAATATTTGCTATGTCGAGCGCATGTCCAGTAAGTAAAATTGAGTAAGTTTCCACAACGTAGGTCCTATATGTTTTTCATTTCGTTTTTCAGAGTATTTGTTGTTTAAAAGGTAATAAAAATTCCCATCGTTCGATATTACTGAACGAACCTGGGTATGTTATACTACACTAATTTAGGTCGAAACGTCGGCAAATACAAATTTTTCATCTCCAACGCTGTTTTATTGACCTGAATCCAACTTAAAAAAACCAATCGAATTTATTATTTATGATAATTTATTAGGAACTTATGAGTATTCAAGAGTTATTGTACGTTTCTCGTCGTTGGACACTTTGTGACAGAGTTACTCAGTAGTAGAAGTCGGTTCTTCAGTTGACGTAGCTTCAGTTTCATCAGTAGTTTGATGATAAGGACAAGTCACTGGAGTGGGTGTAGTCCTCGGTCTAGTCGTTTCAGTTGCACAAGCCGACTTAGTGTCTATCTGAGAACACGTATCTTTTGTAGGAGCTTCAACAACTGGAACTTTTTGAACGTTGTCTTTACTGGTGGTAGTTGTTGATGGTGCAGTAGTGGTAACATTGTTATTAGTAGAAGGGCACCACGTATTATTGTCATCTCTCCATAAAGTAAGGTCTACACTTGGAAGGTTATTACACGAAACCACTTTGTTACTAAAATACCAATAAATAAATTAATTAGTCATAAAAGATGATTTTTTTGTACTGACGTTGGATTTATTCTCCTGAAACCTTGCGGTTGCATTGATTTGATGTTGGTATTATCACAAAACAGTCTGGATATTGATGACTTTTTAATTTCTTGAAGTTGAGCTAAAGTGAATCCTACAAAAAAAAATTAACTTTAAAAACTGCTTTATACAACATTTGAAACCTATAGTTACCTTGTTCGCCGGAGTTTTCAAACCAAAACCTATCGGCCACTCTTGTCTTATAGAACTGTCTTTCCAAAATACATAAAAATGTTGGACCAGCTTGACCCTTTCCAGGAGTAACATCTTCTAATGAACCACCAACTGTTAGTTCAACATCATCAGGGTGCAAGTAGAGGGATTTCAATTTTTTGACATTCTATATAAAAATATAATTAACTCAACTTATCATTATAACATGACATTTTACCTCTTCAGATATCACATCCAAAAAATCTTTAAACTTTCTTGCTCTTGGCAAGCCACAAAACTCTCTAACATCATTGTAGCATGCTAATCCGTGATCTCTAGTTCTTTGTATGCAAATAGCTTTTAGATCTGCACCTATATTTTGACCAGGTATTCTGAACAAATTTTTCGTGATCTGTAAGAATATTGTTAATAGAAGCATTATAATTATTGCTTGTGCTGCCAACCTCTTCATCGTGAAAAGCATCAGAATGCATTTCAGCTTGAGTGTTCAGCCCCCTAGCAAGAGCATCAAACGCTCCTTTTTGCTCTAAAATACCAGGACGATTGAACCAGTCGCTTAGCCTGGCAGTTTTAATGGTGTTTCTTGCTTCATCTACCAAACTAAAAACAACGACTTTACTTATACAAATATTTTAAGCAATCAGGTAGGTACTTACTTTAGGTATCCAGCAATTTGAGTATGGAAGTACCTGAAAGCTGCATGAGCATGTTCATTAAAAACCATCGGGGTTATTTTTGGGTTATAGTCGTCAACATACCCACAAGTATCATAGATTAACTTTTTGTCAAAAGCTCTTTGTCTACCAATAATAGTTGGCAGCCATTCATAGTAAGATATATGTTGATGCTGAGCGATATTAATTTTTCTGGCTTCTTGGTAAATGCATTCATCACTCCAACCAGGGTTGATTTCTTTCAGCCTGTCAGCTAATCTATTGTGTTCTCTAACATAAATAGTGTGAATAAGGGTTAGCTGAGGATTTTGGTTAATCCTTTGGTCACTCGCTGAAGAGTAACAGGGTTCGTTTGGACATGCTGTTGTGCATGACGAATTCGATTCGGCTGGCAACATTTCTTCACCGTTTTTCATAACAGATTCAAGTCTGCCTCCTTTGTGGGACCTAATTTTTTTAACAGTCTTTTCATCTTGACCATAAACTGTTGACAGGTCTAGGTAACTGTTAACATCTGAAATCTGATCAACGCTAGTCCGTTCACCCATACAGCCAATATCCTTATCAGTAATAGTTCTTGTGATTGATATACAAGTCCAATTATGTGAATAATACACAGTATCTTGTTTTAAGATTTCAATTGAGATGCAGTTTTCTGGTGCTTCGCTCAACATTTGGTTATTTGGGGCACAACACGAGATATTTGGTAGGTAAATATGGCTCATATCGTGAGCTACGCTTTGTCCGAATTGCATGGTGTTTAAAGTCCAAACTTTATCTTCTCGCGGTTCTTCTGGGTAAATTTTCGATGATACTATTCGGGCGTTGGGCAGAGGTTTGCCGGAGACGGACTCTGTGGGTTCACTATAATCTGATAGATGAAATTTTTTTTAACTGAAGTGCTTTTTTGAATGAAAAAACTTACCATCAGCATAATTAGAGGGAAGTAACCTTTCGTATCTGCCATACGGTGTACCCCAATGTGGATTCTTCAAATTGTTACACGACCCATCGTATGATCGATACTTGGTTGCTGGACAACTGGTTGGAAAAATTCCGCACTCTGATTTGTTTGATGGTCTCGATGTGGTGTAAGAAGCTTCGCGAAAACTGAATTCAACAATTAAGGTGCTTTATAATTACATTATTCTAAAGGGTGTTTATGTGCAAAGCGCTATGAATAAAAATAAATTACGATAAAGAAGAAGCACCATTTATGGCACGTGAAAAAGTTCATATGGAATGTATTAGACCTGGAATTATTGTTCAAATGTGAACACCTTTAGAATATACACAACAAAAGTAACATTGTTCATGGTTAAAGGCTAGGTATTAAATTATTACGTGCTTTCTTGTCGTAGCCATCTAGAAACTAGGTATAATATAATGTGTTGGCGAGCAATGATTTATTTTGTTCCTGGGTCGTGACAAAAATGTATGCGGCTCATATTCCCGAGGGTGAGAGTAAAACAACTGATGTGAGTGTAGAATTCTAAATACAATTTTTATTGAAATAAATGACAAGTGTCGGCCTTACAAATCTTGTTTAATTTGGTCAGAGCTGGGATTAACGACAAAAAATAGTTACTTTACTTTAACGAGTTACTAAAAGTAACGCGTTACTTGGTAACTTCGTTACTTTTCAGATTGATTGATAAGTAACTGTAACGACGTTACTTTCCTGAAGTAACTGCAGATCGTTATTTTGTTAAAGCGCGTTACTATGAAAATAACGCGTTTATATGGAAGTAACGCGTTACTAGTTACTAGGGATGCGCCGAAGCAACGATTTGGCCTATTTGTTTACTATTCGGTTTTGGCCGAAGCGGTAGTTGGATTTCGGTCGAAGCGAGTGTTTTGGTTATAGTTTTTATTTCATGTTTTAAACGTAATCTAATCGTGCAACGTCTTAAGCAATGGGCTCTTTCACTAAAATTTAAATACATAATTTAAGTATAAAATCTCAAAGGAGGGACTATTTTAGGCATATATACCAAAAAAAAAATGTTCTACAAGGTTCAATAAGTTTTTTACAGGCAATCAAAAGTGGCCAAATTCAAATTAATTTTAAACGCGCCGATTCGCCGACGTCACATAAATATTCTTCATTTCGCTTATGTTGTTGCAAGGAGGACCGGCTCGGCTGTGTTTGCGCTCTGTAAAGATACGTAAAGGTTGGAATGCGCTGTTGTCGGCTGTGACTAAATGTAATGCAGCGTAAAATAAATAAATAAAACTAAACATAAAAAATTGTATTAAATTGTGTTTAAGCATAATTTTAAAAAAAATGTTATAAACTCTTGAATCTATAACTAATTAATTTATCTACTTTTCATGAGATTTTGCCAACATTTCAGAATTAAATCTATTACAAATTTTCAATGTTGACAATTAGTGGCAACACGGTCAAATTGCGAGCTGCGACGTCATAGAAATAAATTCTGGGTTTTTATTTGGAGGTATTTCTTTGTTTTCTGTTTTCTCAAGAAGGACTTTGAATTTTTCAAAAGTAAAAATACAGAAAATTCTGTTTTTAGTTGCTTTATCCAAATATGCCAATTTCAAAAATTAGTGAAAGAGCCCATTAAGAGTATTTAAACGTAAAAATGAATAAAAAGTAGAGTGACATTTGGAAATATTATTTATTAAGTGAGGATAATAATAGATATGCAAAGTGCAATACATGTAAAGGTGAGATTTCTCGAGGTGGTCTTAGTAAAAATGCCTCCACAACATCTATGATCAATCATTTAAAAAGAAAACACGAGAAGAATATAAAGAATTCCAAGGGGAAAGTACAAGCAAAAGGTCAAAGAAGCCAACAATTGATTAAATAGGTACCTATTTCAAGCAATATTGGTGTTTTTTTTGTTTATAAACAAATCCCTTAATATTTATGATTCGGTCGAAGCTTCGGCCGAATAACTGCAAAATTGAAAACGATTCGGTATTCGGCCGAATCGGAAAAAAGTTGCTTCGGCGCATCCCTACTAGTTACTATGAAAGTTACGCGTTCTCTCAATTTACAATTTGTTTATCTTCTTTACAAATAATTGACGATTGAGGAAAAGGAAAATAAGTAATCCAAAAACTTTGTATGTCAAATAAAATGTGGGTAGTACAGAAAATTTGTTTTGAAAGCTCAAAATAATCGTTTTTGGGCGTGGCACGCGCCGCCTCTGCTCTCTAGACACTATATGCAGACACTGGGACGCTTCAAAAAGCAGGTTTGTCCAAAACCAAGTTCTCTATTTAGTCGCTTAATCCTTAATCCGTTTGAATTTTGCAACAAAACTCTTCCACATATTCGGACTCACAAACTAAAAACATATTGGCATTTCGTAAAGGTCTTATTTGATTGTTTGGACTGCTGTGTTGGTGAGTCAAATTAGGGAATAACGCAATTTTCGACGTAAATAGTTATTTTTGAAGTAACGCGTTACTTTAAAAGTAACGCTTTATTTAAAAGTAGCGCTTTATTTCAAACTAACGCGTTGAGGTAACGGGTTAATTTCAAATAACGAGTTACTTTTAAGTAACGAACTACTTCTAAAGTAAAGTAGTTACTTTCAAAGTAAAGAAGTTACAGTAACGCGTTACTTTCCAATAAGTAACGAAAATAAAGTTATTATACGAAAGTAACTGTAAAGTAACGCGTTACTTTTTTCAAGTAACGATCCCAGCTCTGAATTTGGTCGATCTGAAATTGAATGAAATGCCTATTTAAACTGTCTATAAAGTCTACAATATCTCCACTACCTATTGAAGTTTAATCGGTATAAAAACTCTTTGTCCCTTGAAAAGCACTCCATTTTTCAGTAGGTAATTGAATTCAGAAAATTGATTTGTCAATAAATCAGATTTCATTTTCGATAGGACTTCATCTTTTTTGTCTCGACTCGGATACTTTCAGCATTTAGTTCTAACGTTGATATGTCGAAAATGATTGAATAACAGATTTGATTTACTTGTTCATTGAGAAACTTGTCAGTTGATTGTTGATTCTGATCAATAGACCGATCTCCTATTACCTGGACTGCGCGCGTCGCTTGTAGGCTGCAGGTGAGCGTCCAATGAGAAGCAAGTTTGTTACAGGCTCGCGTCATATTCCTATTCAGGGGCCAGTTCAGAATGAATCGTTCTTTCTTTTTTTGTAACATGTAATTCAACAAAGAGCAAACTAATACTTTGTATATTACTTGAACTCACCGCAGTGTCGTTTAAGGTTATGTTAGATTATACTTGACATATTCCTTTGCAATTTCATTGTGCGATGTTGCCGGATGAAACATTTATCAAAATAAAAGTGCAAACGATGTTAACATACACTTTTCAAGCGCTTCTTTTGTCTGATTAAAGGCGTTGTAAAACACTTGACACTATATCACTTCTTTAATGTTATAATGTTCGATTTGTATTGTCTACATTTGTTCTGCACAATACAATCTGGCTACACTGAACCTACGAGTTGCGCGCGCATGTCATCTTTTCTTACTTTCTAACTTGTATTTATTACAATTAAGCTAACTTTTTCTATTTTTGCGAGACAGGACTATTGGCGTTCGAGATAAGCAGTCCACATTCGTATATTCACAACCTCTTCTGTTTTCTACCTCGAGTAGTCTGGCAGACGTCATAGCTGGTAATTTCGCATTTTGGTAGAAAATTCTTGTAAGCGGGCTGTTATCAGTGATCAATTTGAATTCCCTTCCATATAAATACATGTAATAGTGATTTAATGAAAAAATTAAAGCTAAAGCCTCTCTGTCCAATTGGCTATATAGTTACGTTCACTAGCTGTTAATGATCTTGAAGCTATATCGGTTTTTCTACACCATTTTTAATATGTAATAGGACACCTGCAACACCTGTAGGACTTGCATCACAGGCTAGAATAACTTACCAGTTATTCTATTTAGGTCAAATGGGGTCAGAACACGATTACTCGCTATTTCCTGCTTCAACTTTATGAATGCTGCCTCACAGGAACGATCTCAATAGATTAACTTTCTGTTCTTTTGAAGTAATTTTCGTAAAGGATAAGTCATTGTCGATTGACTGGGTATGGATAGAGAATAATATGTAAGCATACCAAGAAAGCGACCAACTCCATCTACATCCTTTGGTCTAGGCATGTAAACTATGGCTTTTAGTTTCGCTGGAGATTTTGATATTTGATTATTTTATTTATTTATTTATTTATTTATTTCTTTATTCATGTTAATACATACATACAATGCTTACACACGTGACACACGTCAAACAAGTTACAATACAGTTTAAAATACATACCTATTACAAGTTTTCTTTAAGAATTATTCTAATAACTAAATAATCCAGAATTACTGGCATTTTGTTTACTAATTACAATCTACAACACTAAAATCAAAAGACAAAAACTCATTAAAATTGTAAAACACATTTTCAGTTAAAATTTTCTTCAGAATTTTTTTATGCAAATTACAGGGCAATTCCTTTATTTTACTTGGTAAGACATTGAAAAATTTGATTGCCCAAAAGCCTGGGCCGTCCTGACACCCTTTCAGACGCCAATATAGTGGCACTATGCCATTTTTATTTCTTGTATTGTAATGGTGAATATCAGAATGTTGTTGAGTCTTGCTTTGTATAAAGAGTAAGTTTTCCAATATATATATAAGGATGGGAGTGTTAATATCCCGAGAGAGGGGAAGCCCTCCCTATAATCATCCCTATACTCCAGGCTAGCCATGGTTCTAATAGCTTTCCTCTGTAATGCAAACCATCTATGAACCCCGGAGGAGTGTCTCCATGCCAGAAGTACATAGTTCAAATGTGGCTGAAAAACAGCAAAGTAGGCCATTCTTAGAACAGATGGTGAAACACAGGTTGAGAGGTTTCTGAGGCGCCTGCCAACTTTTTGGCCACACGGGCAGTGTGCCCACCCTATTGTAGCTTTTGGTCTAAAGTTACCCCCAGAAACTTAACCGCCGTCACCTCCTCACATCGACTCAGATCCCTCTTGAGGAAAATGACTCTCCTTGTCTTATCCTTATTCAGTAGAAGCTTGTTTAATCCAAACGACAATCCAACCCGATCCTGCGCGACCACAGATCTTGCATGCGCGCCCT